CGGCATGATAGATGGCCTTCCGTAAGAATGGCTCTATTATTTCTTCACAAAAATTCTAACTAGGTGAAGCCTTTATTTGTAGCCCCAGGAGAGGGCCAGGGAGGGAAGGAGTGGAGGCGGTGTAGAGCTGGTAGAGTTTTGGTGGTTTGAGAAATTTCTTAAAATGGAGGTACTTAAAATGACTGCATAGGAATGCCAAACTGTGGAGAAAATGGGACGGCATTTCTTGATGTGGCCTTGCTCTGGTTTTCTTTTTTGATCCCTGGGTTAAGCAGTTTCTCTCTTCTTGAAAAATCCAAATAATTGCACCAATTTAATCTCTGTTTTGACTGTGGGTGCTTTTAATGTTTTAATGGGTACTACAGATGCATTCAGGAGCATTTCAGGTGTGTGTATTCAGAGCTCTGTTCCCAAGGGGGTAAATCAGTGCAATAAGTGAAAGGTTGGGAAAGGTTTCCAGAAATGTCTGTTTTCACCTTTATGCAGCTGAGCAACATCTTTTTTTTTTTTTTTTTTCCTCCCCCTCCCTCTCCTTTTGTTTTCTACTTTGCATCTGGAGAAGCCACTTTCTTCAGCTTTCTTTGGCTTCTGAGAAGGAGTCTGTTTTGCAATACCTGGTGTTTAAGAGCATTGTAGCACCAGATTCAGAAATGGGACAGATCTGAGTATTTCTGTAACGGAAGAGGTTCCTGTCCCTTGTATCAGTAGTAGATACCCCTGTGAACACAGATTGCAACATACGGTCCAAGCAAGGGAGATGTTTGGAGTTAACTTTGCCAGTTCACGTAGTTCCCAGTGTGCACCAGGGAGGAGCAGTAGCACAGCAGCCTGCTCTTATCTTTATCTCAAGGCACGTGAAATCAAGATGGGCATCCTTACCCTGCCCTCTCTGTCTGCACTTTCTCTTCTGATGCTGGAGGGGGGTGTTTCCTTCTACCATGCAGCCTCCCTCTAGCCTGTATAATCCTCATCCCTTTGCCCAAGCAGGACTGTGGAAACAGGACTGTTTCTTGCCTTTTTCCTGCGTTGTCTGTCACGGGTAGGTATTATGGGTCACAGGCTGCCCTGCTGTGTGATTACAGAGCACCGAGCAGTAAGAGGGGTCAGCTGAGGCATCTGCAGTACACCTTGTCAGTAATGAGAAAAAGATGGCTTCTTTCAAGTGTTTTGCAGAGGCATTTCTAGGAAGATGCACTTGTGGGATGGTGGATTTTTAGAGAATTTTATTGTATCCCTCAGTTGTGTGTGCAGTGCTCCGTTTGCCACAGCATGGGAGGGACCACGGAGTTGCATATGGCTCCCCCATCTCTTCACTGGTTTCCATTTGTTAGTGAACCTCTGAAGTCCGAGCATGAATGCTGATCCCACTTGATGTAATCAGGAGCTGCTCTTAGCTCCAGTGGCTGTTTTGAGCAGGAGACATTTCAAGAGAGAAGAAACTTGCTTCCTAGGCTTAGCCAGTGAAAACAAGGGTGAGTTGCCGCAAATGAGCATAGCACTGTAGAAGTTAGTGCTGTTTCTCACAATTAGAACTGGGTGCTTGCATATTCTTTCTCCAGTGCCCCTTCAAATATTGTTACTGGAGTCAGGATATATCAGTGTGTGTGTATATTGCACCCCCCTCGCCCATAGTGGGAGCTGCTTTATGCCAGTGAGGTTCAGTGTGAAGTCATGCCATTTTTTTTCAGGCTATCTCCAGTTTAGACTGACATCCAAGTAGCTGCATGCTGATGTTAGCAGCAAATAGGCTCTGAATATCTAATAAAGGTTAAAATAGTGGAAGAGGCACAAAATGTTGCAGGGAGCTGTTGGATGCAAATAAAATTATAGCAATAATAATGTGAGCATCCTCTACTTTACGCGTGAGGAGTGCAGCTGGCTGTCTAGGCTTGACCCATCTACTGGGGTCTGCTGCAAAATTGCCACCACGGCAAAGGATGTTGTTGGCCCAGGGAGAAGAGCCACATCGTAGCTGAGGAGGAAGAGGCTCGCAAAGGTGTGTGTGAGGGATGCCCTGCAGTCTCCTCACATGCCATGTCAGGGAGCAGCCAGCTATCTCAGGCATAAAACTCATCTCAAAAAATCAAAATAGCAGTACTACTGTCAGCATGACATGGGGAGGAGGGAAGTTGTGCGAAGCGCCACAACTTCCATCCTTGTGTTTTATGCATGAAGGAGGTCGCACTCCAGCCCGTGGTGTTTCTGCCATCTCTGCTGTGGGCGATGGGTCATGGCTTTGCTCCCTGAGCCCTTGGAGCCATGCTGGGCTGGCTTTGCCCTGGCAGCCAGGAGGAGTCCTTGCCAGCAGGGTGGCAAGCACAGCCTGCGATCTCAAGCCGCATGGCTGCTCCTGCGGTCTGTGGTGTAGCTGCTTGTTACCAGCACAGTTACGTGCTGTGTTTGGGGTTCAGCTCGGAGCACGCAGCACCCCAAGGTAGGACGCGCACTGGGGAGCCTTAGGACTAGCTGTTCGGTGTGACAGTGTTCCTGACGTCAGGTGAGTTAGCCAGCTCTGAGACAAAATCTCCAGGTACAGTTCTTAAAGAACAGTAGCAGTTGGCTCTTTCCCCAGCCAAGGAGGCAAGGCCCATACATTGCTTTTGAGTAATCTAGGAAGAAAAAAAAAAATAGTTGTATTTATTTTCAATAACTCATTCAGGTAGAACGAGTAAGTAGTTTTGCAGTGCTGATTTATGAGCTGTTGCAAAATGCAAGAGCTGCTCATGATTGCAAATTTCATTGATCTTGACTCCAAGAATTTCAGTACTGTAATGTTTTATGTAGTTTTCTTCCTCTCCAGTCCTGCCATTTGAAGAAATAAGGACAATTTGCCTTTATGCAGCCCAAGAGGAGACAGCAAAGTCAGGTGCCGGGAAGAGAACCCAGGTGCCCAGATTTACAGACCCAGGTCTGCTCCTCTCAGAGGGAAAGCCTTTCTTTATAGAAACAAATGCCCCCCTCCATGAATAGCAATCAGTGCTTTATGACGCAGTTAGCAGGCAGTCTCTGGCAGGCTCATTTGTCTCAATCACCACTCTATGGAAACTTCACCATGCCTAATCCAGTAGTTTGACCCCACCAGCATAAAGCAACAAACAGGTTCCAAGTTGGCCTTAACCGTCATGGTGACTGGTGACTATGCACCTTCCCATGGTGTAAGGCTTTCAACAGTTGTTTGCTCTTTCAGAAAGAGCCTTGGTGCTGGCTGTGGTAGCAGCTGTACTGGATGATACTGTGCAGTTTTGAAAGAAATATCTATGTGTTTCTTAGATGATGAGTGATGGCGCTCTCCAGCCATTTGGGTTTGGGGTTCCTGCTAGCAAATACTTGTACTCTGGGTAGCTTCACTGCCTCTTCATAGCCCAATTCACTCTCTTCCTCCAGAAGTAGCACTCTGTTACATGGGTGTTTGGCATACCACAGGAGGAGCAGTACAGTTGGCATTTGCATTTACGGGTAAACCCACCAGAAAACATTTCTATTCTTACTGGCCCAGATTCTTCTTCACTGTGACTAACCATTGCTGAGCCACAGGAGTTAGCATTGCTGCCTTTAAGCCCTGTGGGCCCGTCTTCTCAAAGGTTTATCTCTTTGCTTTTTTTAATTAAGTATGAATTTGGGGCCGCGCTACATCCCACTGTCTATTTAAGGAAGGTAAAATGCCAGAAATCCTGCTTCGGGCCTGTGAAGTCAGTTCAGAAGAATTGGGCTCAAAGGGCATATTGTATTCTGTTTTTCCTCTCGGTCTGATTTCTTCTAATATCTGCAAACTGGAGAGGCTTTGCAGTGTCATCTCTGGTGTGCCTGTGATATGCTGAGACACTGCTCCCAGGGACTGCTGCAGGCAGCACACCCCTCTCCTGTTTGACTCATTTTGGGCTCTTGGACATCAGGCTGTCCTAGCTAATGCCTCCCAGCAGCTACAAGAGGTGCGCTGGGAAGTGTGCTGTGCCACACTCTGCCTTGTCAGCATGGGGAGACAGGAGGTGCAGTGACAGCAGCTTCTCTGCGTGTCTCAGCTGGTGCCGGCAGCGCAGGTTGCTCTCAGTTTGCTGACACCCTGGTACTGTGCTTTGTTTGCACTGAGTCCCTTCGTGACTGGGCATCCTGATGGGCGGGAGGAATGGAGTGGAAAGGAGCGCTCAGAAGAGAAATGGGTTTTGACTCTGCTGTTTGTCCTGAAACTATTGACTGATGACAAGAATAAATTAAAAAAAAAAAAAACCAAAAAGGCATTGCACAGCTTTTTCTCATCCTGCCTGGTTTCTGTGTCAGTCTCAGTCTGCCATGAGCCACGCTGAGCTTGGGGGGTCCCCAAGAGAACCTGCTGCCACCTCCTCCATACTGTCTCTTCTGCCCCTCAGCCTCCCTTACCAAACTTAACTATTAACAGCCATTACATATCACTTATTAGTGCTTGTACACTTGTGTTATAGCATGTACAGGTGTCGCGTGAACGCATCACAGGAAAGGCAGTCCTCGCTCCCAGAACCCACAGTCCAGCTTCTTCTGTCAGGGGCAATGGCCCATAGCTCTAAGGGAGGGTTGAAGTTTGCATTGGGTTGTTTCTCCCCCCCTCTTATTTCAAAACCTCTATTTCCATTTTCCCTGTCACTGTGCATGGATGCACACACACCTCTAGCATTGTTTTCACCTAAATTTTATCTTCCCATACAAGATTTTAGGGTTGAATTTTCTTGGAGCTCTCTAGGAAGTCTGGTGTTATGCAGGAATATCCTATGCTGTTGTCCTTATGGGGGATAAATAGCTTGGAAGAAGTGTAGATGTACAAATGAAAATAGAGGCTTGCAGGTTCTCTAGAAATGAACACGGTATTCTTGCTCTGCTTTATAAAAGCCTGGTTTGCTTCCACTGAAAACACTACATTTTTTGCCTCTGATTTTAATGGGGACAGGACCAAGGGCTGTGGGGAACACAGGCAGAACTGTGTTTCTCCTGCAGACTTGCAAGCTAAGGTGTATTGTTCTTTCTGGCTGCAGAACGCTGTGATGACTGGGGTGTGGACACCATGAAGCAGATCCAGATCTATGATGGGGAACCTGCCAAGATCAAATGCCCGCTTTTTGAGACCTTCTTGAAGTACAACTACAGCACAGCACATTCTGCTGGCTTAACCCTGATCTGGTACAGGATCGGGCAGGACCGGGATCTGGAGGAGCCCATTAATTTTCGTCTCCCAGACAATCACATCAGTAAGGAGAAAGACACCCTTTGGTTCTGGCCTGCTCTTCAAAATGACACTGGGAATTATACGTGCATGCTCAGGTAGGTTGTGTGGTGCAGCTTCTGTGTGTCTTCAGAGTAACTGAAGGACTTTCGTGGAAGCGGGAAAATTATGCCGTTAGCACCAGATCTTTCTGTAGGGAGAAGACCATTTACATAAGCATTAATGGGAGAAGAATGCTACAATTATAAGACTGCTTAGTGCTGAGCTAATTTACATTGTAATAATGCTTGGAGCCTTGCAAACATTAACGAGCGTGCTTCTCCTTGCTAGCTGCAAGTGTCCGTGAAAATATTATTGCTAAGCCCATGGCAAAATCCACAGGCACTCACCATTAAGGAGTGATCTGCATGTCTAGAGTAAAAATAGCTTTGGATGCAGGGGTAATGTTTTGACTGTATGCTAATTTGGCCAAGATTCATGAGATAGAGACACTTTTAATTTCCTAGAAGTCTCAAAGTGTGGTACAAAATGAACATAGCATCTGCTATGCACTGGGCACAGGAGCTCTTTTTGATCTTCCTCACGTTGTCTCTTGTTCATCGTGTCTTTGACCCTATTATCTGCTTTACCAGCAGGGGAGTGGATGTTGCTTGTTAGTCATCTTTGGAGGCTTTTCTGAGCTAGTGTGGCCATCTCTGGTGTTTTCTTTCCCATTTATAAATGAGTCAACTAAGGCTGTATATACCTCATCAGTGCTATGGTGCTCGTTATCGCAGATGTGATTTTTATTTCATTCCGCAGCTATAGGAGTAAACAAGTTTCAACTAATCAGCCCTATCCTGTTCTGTCCTTAGAAATACAACGTACTGCAGCAAAGTTGCATTTCCTTTGGAGGTTGTTCCGAAAGACGAGCACTCTTGTGTGAGCCAGTCAGTAAAACCCACTGAGGAGATGTTCTACTTGGAGCACGCCAATGAGAAGATCATATGTCCAGATATTGATGGGTTTTACCCTCCTAGTGTAACACCAACTGTCAAGTGGTACTTGGTAAGAAGGACTTATTTGGGCAGTGGGGGAATGCAATGTTGTATCTGAAAAAGCAATGGTTGGCGTAAGAATCATGGAGCTATGTTTCAGAGTCTCCCCAGTGATGAAGCTGTTAATGAAGCTTTACTAATTTTAAGAGCTTTGTTTCCATTGAGTTCAAGGGTAAAACTGCTCTTGGAAGAGAATTGAGAGCTAACACTGAAACTCTTTTGACCAGCGTGCACAAGTGGAGAATACTCTAGCAGGGATTTAGGAACCTCAGTTCAGCTGCGGGCAGTATGCCTGACCTGCTGTGTGAGGCAGTTGCTATCCCTGTAAAGGAAATTGTAATTCATATTCCCTCTTCTCTTGGGGGGGGTGTGGGGAACAGAAAAACAAAAAAAAAACCCCAAAACTAAAACCCACGTACTAGTGAAAACAGCATCCTTTCCTAAATCCTTTGAAGTCTGGAAATGAAATTGTACATCAGGCCTCTGCAAGGACCATGGGTGCCCTGTTTGACACAGTTCAGCAAACCTCTTTTCTGAAGATGGAGACATCCCTACCCCACCATCCATGCTGCTCTGATAATTAGGCTGTCTTCAGCCATCCTCAGGCTCTTGCCTACAGAATTACTGCTCAATTTTATTAAATTTTGACCTCAGTGTTTTTCTCTAGGTGGATGTCTTTAGTCAAGAGAGAATAAGAATTCTCAAGGGATGTGCAGCCAGAGGGTTATAGGACTGAATTCTCTAACCGCTTATGAAGCGCTTTTGGATTTCTAGATAGACGGTTCTGTATGAGTGAACATAATAGTAAAGAAAGTAGGCAACAAACATATCTGCTGATTTAAAAACAAACAAACCAACTACCCAACCCAAAAAAACACCCCAAAAGAAAAAAAAAAATCTCTAAAACCCTTCAGGAAGAACTTACTTTTGTATCTAAGAGGAGCAGTTTCACTCCAGTAGTTGAAATGCTTTACTTGTGCCATTCATTGAAATTCACATCTCAACAATCAATTAGCAGAATGAAACAAAAAGCCCCATGGAATTAATTTTTCAGGCAGCAAGTCATTCCATGCCTAATAAAAATCATTAAAAATGGTATATGACCCCTGTCTTAAACTGCCCCATTAGGATGTATCTGATTTGGAAATGTACCATTCAGAAAGAATCTCTTAGAAAATGTGCACATCTTTGGGTTTTATGACAATCAAGATGTCATCTGCATAACCCCTTTCTGAAAAGGGATCTCTAGCTTGGTACTTGGCAGAGGTTTCCTGCCTTGCCTGACAGAAAGAGAAGAGTTATTAAGGTTTCTGTACTACAGATTCTCGTTTGCCAGTTGCCAATTTTGGGGCTTCATCCTCAGCTGAAGTCAGTCAGGGTAGCTTGATTAGTCCCGAAAGAGTTAGACACGCTGGCATCAACGGGGGACATGTCCTTTCGTCTTAGTATTCATTTGTGAATACATCAGCATTTTCTTCCTGTCTCTTTTTACTTTCACTCTTCACTCTGCTGAGGTGCTCACCTTGATTGCAAATGTACTTCTGGATCAGAGATCTCTCTTATAAAATTGTCTGTATTTAAGATGGCATAAAACTATTAGGGTCATCTGCTTCATCACCTCATTGTCAAGGTGAACATATCAGTTTGTATTCCAACATACTCAAAGTTCATGGTATTTAGGTCTGACTTAAATAAAATTCCAAGTGTCATATTCATAGTTTAAAACCAGTTCTTTTTAGTAGCATTTAAACAAATATCTTTACTTTTGAATCCCAAAACTCAAGTGTTTTTCTGTCTGACTCTAGAACTGCAACTTGGTGGATGGCTTCTATGAGCGATACACCCAAGGGCCCAGGCTTGTCATTGGCATTGTTCGCAGTGCATATAAAGGGAATTACACTTGTATTGTGACATTCAAGGACCACGGAAGAACCTATAATCTCACCAGAACCATAGAGATGAAGGTGGTGGGTAAGAATGACTTAAAAATGTGTAAAATGCATGTGGATAACTGCAGAAGTAGTGAAAACAGCTGGAAGAGTCTGTCACAGCATCAATCTGGTTGTGCTCAATTTGCATTACCCAACTGACCTGGTATTTTTTTTGCTTGCTGGGATCAGCCTTGTGTGGCTGTCCAGGACATGTTGCACTGGAGGTCCTACCCACTGCCACGTCAAATGCTCCAAACAACACAGAGGGTGACCAGGTTTAGGCTGGTGAAGTACAGCCCGTTAGATGGCCAGGGGTACCCTCTGCTGGCATGTGAATGCATAACCCTGGCACTCTTGCTCATTTTTGTCTCCAGTGCCCTTTGCTTGTCATTATTTGGGGGATTGTCCCATTATAGCCAACTTGCCTCAGTCTTCTTGCAGTCTCAAAGCCTTGTGTGCTGAGGCTGAGACAATTAATTGGCCAGGCAGGGCTCCAGTTACCCAGCCCAGTGCTTGGACAGGTGTGTTCCAGGCACAAGGGCTTAGCCTGCCTGCCAGGGAATTGTAGACAGAGCTTAAAAACCTAGTGAACAGTACAGTACATGCTGAGTCCCATGGCAACTGCTGCTTTAAGAGCTGAATTAAATACTTGCTACAGGAAATTATGGTTGTATTTTGTTTTTTAGAAGCAGCAATAAAAAGAAACTGGTACAGGTTGTGCCTTGTGGGAGACATTGAGTGGGAGATGAGAGGGGTGTGGAGCTGTTCTGATGTGAGAGACCCAAAAGCTTGTATCTAGACTGACTTACACTTTGGAGGAGCCTCAAAATCTGGGTCTGGCCCTGAGTTTGGGGACTAGGATTAGATTTCTCTTTGCGTGGAAGTCTGCAGCAGGATTGTATCACAAGTTAGACTGGGGCATGTGCAGCAGGGTGCAAGGGCACCATGAGTGAGACTGCGAGAACCCAAGTTCTCATGAAGTCTGGGTCCCCATGGGGGGCTCTCTGTTCTCTCCCGCAGGATCTCCGAACAAGGCCTTGCCACCACAATTCACCTCTCCAAATGAGAAGGTTGTCTACGAACTGGAAGCAGGTAAATTGCAATGCTTGCTGCCTGCTGTCACTGCCCTGGCAGCCTGCTTGCTGGGACAGGGAGACCCAGCCAGGCACAGAAGCTCTCCCCTTCCACTGCATCCCGGTGCTTTTCCTCGCAGAGGGCATGAGCTGCCACAAGTTGCCTGGCAGACAATGTGGGGTGCCAGTTCTCGATGGCGGAATAGGAGAACACAGCTTTAAAAGTTTATTTTTGCAAGCACAAATAAAGATAGGTATTCAGGCACGGAGAGACAGGACTGCAGCTGCAGAAGCAGACGAAATGGGGACCTTCGGTTGCTTAGAGAAATTCCTGTAGGACCTTGTCTCAGCCCTGTCCCTGGCTGTGGTTTGCCCAACCCTCCCTCATTCAGCCCCTCAGTGGCTTCAGCCTTCTGGCCACTTCTTGCTCATCTCTCCCTTTTTGGCTGATTGCTTCCTAATTAATGACAGCTCTCCTTTTGCTGGCCCTTCCACACCCCTTCCCCCACCCCATCTGTTTAGACTGATAGCTCTTTGGAGCAATTCCCTGTATTGAAAGGATCATGTCCCATTACATTGCTGTAATAAATGTGGTGCCAATGATGATGATTAGCAGCAGAGTCTTCACTTTAAAGCACAGCTTTTTTAGCTCAGAAGGTCAGACTTCTTCCATAGTCACTCTATAAGATAAAATCACTTACGGGCTGATCACAAAGATATTCACACTCCCAAGCCTGATCTTGAGGGGAAGTTAAATGCCTGAGCAAGTGTTCCCACACCAAAATGCTTTTGTGGAGCTGGATCCCTTCGCTTTATGGCATCTGTCCCCTGTGCAGTGGGGATGAATAACACTCCCTGGCTTTCCAAGGAAGTGGTTGGCATGGCGCATCTCCACTTGCGTGGGTCACTTGGTGCAGTCAAGGAATTTGTGACACATTTGAGAAAGTAGGATATTTTTTCCTATTTATTTGTCTGTCATAAATCAACGTGTCCAGGGTGCTAAACTGCTATCAGCTGTCTGAAGGTGGATGCTGACCTCACTCTCTCCTGACGGGAGGCAGACCTCAGGCTGGTGGGATCACTGGAAAGCATCACGGTGGTGATGCTGTTCCTGCTTTGTAATATCTCACTGTGGTGCTTTCTTCCCAGGAGATGACCTTGTTCTGCCCTGTGAGGTCTTCTTCACCTTCCTGAAGGACTCCCGAACTGAGGTGTGGTGGACCATAGATGGGAAAAACACAGATGACATCATGGACTCCAAGATAAAAGTCACACAAAGGTAACACAGTAATGTGAACCTTCATTTGTATCTAACCCTCTCTTGGGTCCTGCAGAGGGGGGTGGGTACAGACATGCGACAGTGCCATTTTCCCTTGCACAAGAGTATGGAGTTCCCCCACTTCCCTGTTAATCAGAAAACCCTGTGTCTGCACCATGCTGTGGTGAGCACTAGGAGCTCCAAGGAGTAGGCCTCCAGACCTGGACAGTGTCTCATCTTACAGAAGGATTTGAGGGATCTTTGTTTACCAGTTCATATCATCACTTGTTCAGGTCCCGGTAGTGGTGCCAACAGCTGATGCTATTGTGGGACTTCTAAAACAGGGGCAGACACAATTTTATTTAGAGGAATGTTCCCAAATAGCATGTGATAAAAATGTTTAAAAAACCAGAGGCTGAAAATGAAAATGTAGTGTTATACATAGTATTGATTAGGAGGAATAGAGACTTAGTTACATGAAGAACCCAAACGAGGTTCAGAGTCCCGTTTGCTGGGTGCTGAATTACACGTGGAAGGCAGTCACTGCCCCAATCGGTTTGCAAACCTATGCAGAAAAAGGAAAGGCAAAAGGAAATACTGTTATCCCAGTTTTGCAGCTGATCAATTCAGGCAGAGAGAGACAAAGTGACTCATCCAGGATTGCACAGGGCATGTGATGTGGGCTTTGAATCCTGAGTTCATGAGATCTTGTTCCTCTGTAGGCAAGAACTTCCTTTATCTCTAAAATGCAATGTGACGCAGCTGCAATGAGAAAATTATGAGTGGCAAAATAAATATTAGAGAAAATCAGATAAAGGAACAGCTGCAGTTGTATTAAAATCTGAAGTGTGTGTCAATTTATGGTGTGTTTAGGTGTGTTTTTAAAGAAAGAGTTGGATTATATCAGGGAAAAGAGTATTTGTCACTAAGAACTTGCTGCAGTTTCACATCTGTAATGCTCTAGTTTTTCTCTTACAGTGAAATTGCTAGAGATTTTGAAGACAAAACTGTCATAAGGACTCTAACAGTTGCAAAAGCCACACCAGAGGACTTGAAACGGAATTATACTTGCTATGCCAGAAACGCCAAAGGCGAGGACCGTAGCCAGGCCATAGTGCGCATGAAAGGTAAAATACTTGCAGAGAATGGGTGTGAAATAAGGCATACTCAGAGGGGGCTGTCAGTCCTGCCTTAAGTCTTGCCCTGCAAAACGGTAGGGGAACAAATAATTCCATCAGGCATTTTTTCCCAGCACACGCTGTTCTGTATGCACTGCTGTCATAATGCACCACTTCTTGCAGGCAGGGAGCAAAGGACGCGTGCCACATATACACTACCATGGTCAAGTGCCTGGGGAGAGAGAGGGGTGGGTAGACCTGTTGTTCTCATCCCATCCGTGTACCACAGTTGAAGCAGACCTGAGGGGACACGCTGCTTGAAATTGTTTCAGGTTACTTGATTGTGTGAGGGTTTTGCATGACACAACAGCTACCAGTTGGTGTCATCCAGAAGGCAGACTGCACTTGTTGACATTGCTCTGGGAGTGAGACAGTCTAAGCACGACACTCTGTGGTTTTACTCCTTGCTGTGATGATGCTCCAGTCTAGATACAGCCATCTCAGCATGGATGATATGGACTGATCCAGTTCTGTTCAGTGTGGGTTTTTTCCTACTTCATTCCTTCATCAAAGATTTTGTTCCTGTTTCCCAAACCCACCTCTCAGTAATAACTGAGCCTTTACTATAGGTATGTGAGGTTTCCTGATTAAGGTGGATATTTCTGCCTCCATATCAACCTCATCTAGAGCTTCAACATCTGCTTGCTGTAGGTTGGACCTCCCCTGTCTCATAAGGGATGCTGCACTGCCTTGTGTAGCTCCTGCCAGACACCTTCTTCCCCCCACTCTGCCCTATTAGCATGAGAAGGCTCACAGAGGTCTTTACTGGAAGAGCTCTTTCTCTCCTTCTTGGTACCTGTTCTCCTTCCTTTTTAGTCCCATTCCTTTGAGACGAACCTTTTCTGGATCATTAGGAAGGAACAATAGACCAAACACACAACTGAGGCTGAAACCATCTGCCAGTGTGTTCATCCTACATACATAATTATTCTGGGATGATAATGTTTGTACATGTAGCAGAAGCTAATCTAAAATCTTCAGTTTCTTTCTCTATATAGCAGTGCCTAAATACTGTTTTCTAGTCAACTGATCTCTACTAGCCTCTCTCTTCCTCCCCTGTCTGCTCCTAGACAGTTGAGTGGGTTTGCTGTGAGCAGACCTGGTTACTCACCATCCCTCCTTTTTGCTCTGTTCCACAGCAAAATCCAAGAACCATCCCTGCCCATTGCTGGCAGAACAACCTTAAGCTAAGCTCACTGCAGACCATCCCGCTGCACATAGGAACATCAAGCATGCCAGAACCTAGTCCCTCAGCACTTGTCTTCCATTTTTGAGCTAGTAGCTATATATGTTGGCTCCAACTCTTTCATTACATTAGGTTATATACTTTTCCTGCTTTTTTCTGGATGATTTCCCTCTCCTTCTCATGTACTTCTGCTGCTCATCACCTAATGAAAGTTGTTAAATTCCTTCCATTTTCTTTTTTGTAATTCAGTTTCTAATAAAACTTACTAAATCTTGGAATTTGGTGACGTTTCCACTCACTGCTGTTCTTTTATTGTGCAGTTTGCCAGTGTGCATATCGGCTGCCACCTGAATCGTCATAAAAATGGAGTTGCCCAGGGATACAGTTAGAAGAGTTATTTTCTGTCCTTAATACAAAGAAGCAGCAGTAGCGTGACAGACACTGTATGAGTTGGAGGGGGGGGCCTATGATGGTCTGGCTTGATGTCCACAGGTTGTCCTGTTTGTTTGCAAGCATTCCAGCTTTTCTGTGATGATCTCTGATTCTTCTTTCCTGGTAGAAAACAATCAGGCTATGGCTAGTTACATCCTTGCTGTCAGCCTGGGATAAGCCACAAGAACTGTGTGTATTTGATGGGGAGGGAAAATGGTGGCCCTTGCCTTTATTTTGCTGCAGGTGAGCTTTGGCTGGCTCTCCTAGAAGTAAGTGCTGTTGTGTTGCCCCAGGAGTTTGCATATACGGCTGGGGAGGTCACATTCATGAGGTGGCTTTGGACTCTGCAGGTGGTTTCCATCAACAGGTCGTTCTGCCATCTGGCTGCTCCCAGCCTTTGCTTTGACTTGCTCTGCCAGCCCAGCCAGACCTACTAACCCAGAATGGGGACTCCAGGGTGGCCAGCCATCACATGTCCTGCCGGAAGAGCCTTGGCTTGGCCACCTTCCTCTGAAGGGCCAGCTTGGCTCTTGGCTGTTCCTCTGTGGTGTTTGGCTGCATGAGACACAATCTTGTTCCTGCTTAGCTGAAGGCCCAACCTGTTCTGTAAACCAGACACCCTCTTTCTTTTCAAACCCAGTTGTGGCACCGAAGTACACCGTGGAGCTGGCCTGTGGACTGGGGGCAACCATCCTGCTCATTGTGGTGCTGATAGTCATCTATCACGTTTATTGGCTTGAAATGGTCCTCTTCTATCGGGCTCACTTTGGAACAGATGAAACCATTCTAGGTAAGGATTTAAAGGGCTTACATTTATTTTATCCTGCTACAGGCCAGACCCTTCATTTTCATATAGGAATTTTCATATAAGCTATTTTTAACCCTCTTCACAGCACAATGACGTTTTGACCTTCCATTTCTATACCTGCATTCAGTTGTGTGGGTCATTTTAGAGCAAGAGGAGTCAGGCTTGGGTCAGGGGAAGAAGAGAGAAGGCCTCTGTGTTCTCTGCAGAGGTGAAGCATGGATATGTCAGGCTCCCTGGGGGACTACCCTGCTGATGGCTAGCTCTTTCATCTAATCTAGATGGTCGAGATAAGTCACCAAATTTCAGTAAGTCCCTGGTTTCTCTGGTGACTAAGGATTCATGAGTCCAGGATGATTTGCTTTAAAACGTGGGAAGGCATCCAACAGGATGGATCTGGAAATCACCCTTCTGTCCTCAGTTCTTCCACAGCTTCCTTGTGCTACTGGGAGTTCATCTCTTGGGACGCTGAGCTGAGATCTGTAGGATGAGGAGGGTGTTCGAGCCCTCGCAGCTTGTAGTGTGAACCCGCCAAGCGGGTGCCATGGCTCTCAGAGGGTGTAGGCAGAGTGCAAGTCTCTGTCTGGTGGGACTGCTCATGTGGATAGACAGCAATGAGAGGAAACGATGTCAGAGATACCAAAGACACAAGGACCCTGGACAGAATGGGTTGGTCATCTTGCTGCAGTCTCATGCCTTCAGTGACCCAGCAGTGTCTGGGTACCTGCATGTTCAGGCTGGGTAGTCAAAGAGGCAGGGCTGCTGTCTTATAACTATGGAAATCAGTGGTGGCGGTGCCTGGGCTCAAAAGCGAGCCTTCACACCTGCTTTTCCCATGAAGCAAGTCAAAGGCTCAGCATGTGCAGTATCACAAGTGTCTCTTCTGCCGTTTGTGTTTCTCTGCGCCCCAATGCTCAGACGGGAAGGAGTATGATGTGTACGTGTCCTACGCACGCAACGCAGAGGAGGAGGAATTTGTGCTGCTGACGCTGCGGGGAGTCTTGGAGAATGAGTTTGGGTACAAGCTGTGTATCTTCGACAGAGACAGCCTCCCTGGGGGAAGTGAGTATTTCACAGGGGGCTGTGCTCCATGTGCATTCTCTCTTTATTGTTCTTTGAGGTACTGATAATTGACAGGAACTGGCCTATCCAGATTAACTTTATCCTTTGGATTTTTTCCCCATGTCCATTAACCATCTCTTGTTGGTATCTTCTAATGTTTTTGCTTCACATGACAATGTTGCAGATGCTCCAGGCCACCAAAAAGGCTGTGGTGGGCAAGTGGTGGTTGTTGGTCATTTCAGTTGCTCTTCCCAGGAGTGATGTGCAGGAGTGATTAATCTATCAACATGAGGGAACCAGACCACTGACCTTCATGCAAACCCTCTGAGCTACCTTAAAAAACAAAAGGGGATAAAGTCAAGGCTAGAAAGAAAAGAGGCAGGGCGAGTGTGATACCAAACCAGACTGGTAGCTCACAGAGGGTAATGGTGAGTGCCTGTAAAAACCAGGAGTGTCTACTTCTGGACATGTGGAGAGCACCGTGCCAATATCAGTGAGAAGATAACGTGCCCTCCCAGAAGGCTCTCACCCTCTCTAATTGAGAGTCTGTGTCTAACAGGGCATACAATTAAGTTGCTATGATTAAGAGTACTTTGTTGCAGGTAATGAGACTCGTATCTTCACTAAGATGAAGATTGATTTTTTTTTCACTGTTTCAAGCTAAATCATACAAGGTTCTGGATACAGTGTCTGCTGGAGGGATGTAGGGGATCACCAAGAATGGAAGTTTGTGAATCTCTCCACATATGCATACAGTCACACAAATGCCGCAGCAAAGGCACAAATCTAGCCAACACTCTCAATTTCCAGTGTCCTGGAGGCTCAATTGGCTGTATGATCCCTGATGCCTACTAAAAGTTCAGAGCCTGAACTTTTACCAGTGCAGACCACACCACTTTGAATTCATGGGCTTTGGGTCAGGACCCCACTGATGACAGAACCTGTGCTGATAAAGTCCATTGGGGTGCCTTTTGGGTAGGACAGGAGGGACTGCTGAAGTCCTAGCCCAGCTGTGTGACAGAGGGAGCAGAATCAGTCTGGGATCTTTTATCTCTATCTCCTAGATCGTTGCCAGGACACAGCATGTCTACGTTTGAGGGCAAATAAATACGTGTGCCTCGGGGGACACGGAGACAGCTGCAATCCTGGTGCTGTTCCTTCTAGAGAGAGCTTGTATGACATAGCAGGGCACCCTCCAGGCTCTATTTGCTTGATGCCTGTGCCAGGCTCAGAGCAGGTTTGCTCTGAGCTGTTCTGACCGCTTGTTTCTCAAGATGTACATCTCCCTTCCGTTCCCTCTGCCGCTTCTTGACATCCTTCCCTTTTCCCTTTGGAGGTCTCATTTTCCTCCCAGCGCAGCTCTCCTGGGCTCCCTGCCCTTTACCCTCACACCCCGAGCGCTGCCATCCCTGCTCACTGTGGCAGTCACTGCTAGCCTCAATCCAGGGCCAGCCCTCCAGAGCACTGCTGGGGTGGCTTGTCATTGCATTGCTGTTTGCAACGCCGCTGGGGCTTCCCTATTGCTTCTTAGCTGGGATTTGACTAATCTCCTTCTTGAGGAAGCACAGCAGGCCAGGAGGTAGCTTTTGGCAGCTGGTATTGTGCCTCGAGTGTGTATCTGTGTCATGGGTAGAGAGTTATGTTGTCTTTGATGATGAAACAGTGGGAGATGGATTATCCTGCAAGTTTGCTGACAGGAACTAATCAAACGTGCTTGACAGATAAATGAAGTTGCCTGTCAGCATTATTTTATTCTTCATTGTATTTTCTGACCAGTCAAGAGCATTCTCTTGTCAGTGAAGTGTGGGAGATCCTGCAGCAGAGAGTGCAAGCTCTGGGATTCACACTTACAAGGAATTTTCACATTAATTATAGAAAGGTGCCTAAGGACAGTCTACCTGCAGATGTTAGAAAATCAAAGAGGATCCACTGTTACCATGACGTGTCTCCAGCTCAAAGGGTGTCACTTTTGGGACACTTCATTAAAAGTCCTCTGAGCAGTTTACTTGTCACTTCTAGAAACACTCAAATCTGCTTTGATTGATGACAGCAACAGGAACAGCTGGATGAGTAACAAGAGTTAGGATGGTAGTATTTCCAAAGCAAATTAACCCATGGGGACACTCAGGGAGGGTGTAGATACTTATTGGTGTGGGGAAACCAAAGCAAGAGGAATGAAGGGGTTACCCAGAGTCATTCTGGTCATCTGCCAGAGGAGGATGTAAGCCTAGGCATTTGGGCTTCCTGATGCCTCTTCAGGCTGAGTCTTTTCCTTGAGGTCATGTGTTGTGCAGCTGGCAGTTTTCCTGCTTTGCTCTAGAGGGCCTCTTTTTCCACTCTTGCTAGAAGGAAGCTAAATCTGAGCCTACCAGAGCAGCCCTCTTGGCCACATGGCATCATCATAGCACTGGGTGGTGTCACTGCCATGTAGTACAGTGCCTTTTAGATACAGCTACCTCAGGCACCTCTGTGTAGCATGGGGAGGAAGAAACACATCTGTAGGCCAGGCTGGGAGTAGAAGATGTCACTGTATGGGGCAGTGGGTACCAGCCATGGTGTAGGAGGCCCTACCTGGAATTGCTTGCAGGGTTGGGAAGCACCAGTATAGTCTCTAGAGAGGGTCTCCAAGAGATTTTATTGTCCCCTTCAAGAGACACCTGGTGTCACTCTAGCAGCTCAGCAGCATGTTCTCGGCCATCACTAACCACCTGAATGTTTCTTTCTCCCAGTTGTCACAGACGAAACCCTGAGCTTCATCCAGAAAAGCCGACGTCTGCTTGTTGTCCTGAGCCCCAACTACGTCTTGCAGGGAACACAGGCCCTGCTGGAGCTCAAGGCTGGTCTAGAGAATATGGCCTCCAAGGGCAACATCAAAGTCATTCTAGTGCAGTACAAAGCCATCAAGAAGAGCAAAGTGAAGGAGCTGAAGCAGGCCAAGACGGCCTTGACTGTCATTAAATGGAAAGGCGAGAAATCCAAGTTCCCAAAGGGCAGGTTCTGGAAGCAGCTGCAGGTGGAAATGCCAGTGAAAAAAATTAACAGGAGCTTGAGCCTTGATGGGCTCATACGTATCCCTGAAAAATGTTTGACACCATCAGAAAACAAAACAAAACAAACCCCAAAAATCCACGAGTTAGGCCAGGGAATGGGAAGGAACTCGGGGTTTTTGCCATGAAGGACCGTGTCCCAGGCATTTCAGAGGACAGTCGTGCCTACTTGCAGCTTTTCTACTGCCCTGGCAGTAGAGAGACCAAAGATGCATACACCTCCTCTCTGCAAATGCACATCCTTGTCATCAATCACAAGCCCTGGTTCTAAATTTGGGCTATCCAGGTGGTATGCAGCCAGCACCTTGTGATAGCATAGTATTTGTATAGGCCAGTACTCCTAGATCCAGTTCTATGGGACCTTTGGTAGCATCCAGGACAGAGCTTCTTTCCTGTCCTAAGTGGCTTCACTCCTTCCTGGTTGTTGGTCCCTGTTGCAGAGGCTGGGGAACAGTTTGAAAGGTGGCTCCACTATAGAGCCTTTCATACATGTCCCAGCTATATAGTCCTGATCACTGTGGGATCACAGATTTTTGCTTCAGTGGGGGGAGCGTAGACTCTTGAGGATCCTTATCTTTGCTCCCCACATTTCTGTAGGAGCAGGTGCATTCAGATAGTTTGGCAATGTGAAATGGCTGTTACAGAAGCATTTAAAAAAAACAGAAAAGAAACCTCTGCTAGGTGGTCATTATATTGTACCATTTCTACTAATAAGTGGTCAGTCTCTGGGACTCTTCAGCCTCCCGAGTACCCCAGATCTTTCAGGGCTGTAATGCTCATAATCCAGGGGAAATATCTCATTAGTACAGGCCATGGAGCATGTCTGAGATATGCTTCTTTGTAGAATAAACTCAGGGACTTCACAAGCACTGCAAGGAACCCCAATTTACTACTGAACCTACCTACTGTGTCTGTGCTGCTGGCTGGGGGAAAGCATCATGCAAGGTGCGGGGCCTCTGGGATGGCACTGAATGTATGTCCAACTCCCCAGGAGACCCTGCAAACTTATTTGAACTTACTAAAAACTACTATCTCTGTCCAGCTGGGTAAGACTATGAGGACAGGCTGAGAGAATTGGGGTTGTTCAGCCTGGAGAAGAGAAGGCTCTGGGGAGACCTTGTTGTGGCCTTTCAATACTTAAAAGGGGGCTTATAAGAATGGGGACAGACCTTTTAGTAGGGCCTGTTGCGATAGGACAAGGGGTAATGGTTTTAAACTAAAAGAGGGTAGATTCAGACTAGATTTAAGGAAGAAATTTTTTATCATGAGGGTTGTGAAACACTGGAATAAGTTGCCCAGAGAGGTGTTAGATGCCCTGTCTGGGGAAATACTCAAGGTCAGGTTGGCTGGGGCTCTGAACAACCTGATCTAGTTAAAGATGTCCCTGCTCACTGCAGGGGGGGTGGACTAGATGACCTTTAAAGGTCCCTTCCAACCCAAACAAGTCAATGAAGACTCAGTGTTCTCTGCCTGGGTATGAACAACATCACCATTCATAATTTAGGGCTAAGGTTTAAACTAGCCTTGGCTTTACAAAGCAAGTCTCCACCCATCTTGTTTCCAGCCCAGAGCTGCCGAACAGAGGATGTATCTCAGCTTCTGCAACGTTTGCACAAAATGGAAATGTAAAAAACCACTGAGTACCAGTCCTTGCTTCAATGGGAGGCAGCAGGCATAGGAGAGGACCTGGTGAGTTAACCCCCAGGCTTTTCAGACTGAGGAGGGGAGTGTCCCTTCCCTTGTAGGACAGACCGAAGCACGGTGGGACCCTGGCATTGACTGGTGCTGTTGTTCACAATGTTTTCACATAAAACTACAGGCTCTGGGGGTGTCTCCATACTCCTGTAGCTCCCAATGCAAGGGCCTGCCCACTTAATTGTGGAATTCAGTATTACACACACTAAGTGCATGCTTATTTTTTGTCAATAATGGTTGCTCCTGAGTCACCTCTGACTCCTGCTTTGTTGGTGTCTAGCGGGTGAAGCATAGCCATTCATAATGGTATTAAAAAAGCATTACAATTTGGAGTCTATGCACTATTCACCCAGCTGAGCGGGGAGGTTTGAGGGTGTCCCAGTAAACAGCCCAGCCTTAAAGGTGTGGGGCTGAATCTTGGCATCGGCAAAGCCCCTTGCTCTTAGCATCTTAAGATTAATAATGTTATTCCAGGGCAGTGGGGTGCCACAGCCACCCATGCTGTTGGGCAGGTACTGTACAAATGTGGAATAAATAGAGCTTCTTTCTCACCTTCCTTTTTTTCCCCCCCCCCCCCAAATAAGCTTTGCTTTAAGCAGGTAAAATTGCAGTCAGCTTCACTGAAGGCAGTGGAGCTACTTGTCTGCTCAGAGGTGCTTTGGAGCTTTGCTTTTACAAGCTATTCTACTGTGGCTGTCTGTGGAGGGGTAGAGCTGCTTCTCACACTCCGGAAAGCTTCATTCGTACAAGGCAGCAACATTGCAACAGTGTCATTTTGCCCAGCTTCACCTTTTTGTTTGTGTTTTCAGCATCCCTGTAATCAGCTGCCAGATCTGCAGGCAGAGGGAAGGCCCTGAGGCCAAAGCAGAACTGTATTAGATTCCAATTTAATTTTTAAAAAATTGACTTAAAAATATGCATAAATTCAGTTAACATCCCAGACCTCACCACATCACATCTCACTTTTGGCTGAAGTACCAAGAGAACTTCTGCTGATGTTTTAGGCTGATGATTTTAGGAAGTTAAATCCACCTCACTTATTCTGCTGGTTTTATTCAAAGAGTTTTCCAAATAAACAATGGACCAGGACTTTCTTTGGCATACCTTACAGTGGCCTTTGGTGCCATTGCAACCCTAGAACAGAATTACTGAGAGACATCAGCAGAGCACCCACAAGGCAAAAGGTGCGATGCTCTGAAGGGGGCCTGACAGGTCCAGAGGGAGCAGCGTGGAAGGAATAGCACTGGAGCAGGCTCCCCTCCCCCAGGAGCTTTACCACTGGCTTTGCTGGGAGCCGTCAGGCCAGGGGTAAACCCCAGTCACAGCTGTAATGCAGATCTGCAAAGCACCTCAAATAAGCCTGCCATTTCATCCCATGCCACATGTGGTTTCCATTATAGGATTCTGTCACAGCATCTGTCTAGTTCAGTTGATTCATTTGAGTTCCAGTGCTCTAACCTAACATTTATCAATATGCAGCTCATACAAAGTTCCTCATTGTTATTTCATGGGGAAACAGCGTGGCACAAATTAGAAAAAATATCTCCCCCCTCTGTGCCATTTGATGTTGTACAGCTGTTCCAGAATTTTCCCTTCTCTTTTCTGTATGTTTTTGCCTTTGTGATATTTGGTCTGTGAAGTGTCAGTATTATTTTATTTTGCTTTTCAATAAAACATTTTCACTTTTGCATTTCAGTCCTTGTGCATTTCTCATAAGTATCATTTTCCTTCCCATTACGTCTGCGAAAGGCCATTAAAGAAAGATGACTGTAGTCCAAGCATCAAGATCATTTGGGGACACCTCCTTAGAAGGGAGCATTTTCCTGGCTGTTTCATGGTGTGCCTGCAGAAGTCCTGAGGCACCACCACTGCTACCGGGGCTATGCAAGCAGAAACACAGTGCCACCCAGCATTCAAATGGCACCCAGCAGCGAACATGCACACACAAAAAGTCTCTGACCTGAAGAGTGCTCCCTTGGCGATCACAAGATAGAAAGATGGGAAGGAAACACTATCCCTTTGCTTGAGAGACCAAGCCAGAACGTTGAACAGCAATCTTGGCAATCTGCCCTAGCCACAGAAATCAAACTCACTCTTAAGCTGCTTTGCCCATCACCTTCCAGGTAGTTGGGTAGAAAAGGGTCATTCAGCTTCATATTTTCTCATACAAGCTACTTTCTTGGCTTTTTCCCATGTTTGCATGCTAGCAGGTAAGTTGAGAGAGCGCCTAGCACTTTCAGACCACTAGCAAAATGAATACTTGTGACAATCTGTGCATTTGGGGTGTATGGGTATGGGTTCTATGACCCCCCAGCTTTTATTGGGCTGGGACAAATGTGTGGCTCTTATAATCTTCTGTTACATCTCCGGGGTGCATTAGTGGAGACACAAGTAAACCAACAAAAATATGCAGTGTCCTTCGTAACTATGTAGTAAGGATGGAAGTTTTTTAGTATAAAGCAGTGTCAAATTCCCAGCTCTGTTGGTACCGAAACCCCCACAGCGTTATTGCTGCCTGTCCCATCCTGTTGCTGTTGGTGTCACTGGGAGGGACCATCCTGCCTGCACATTGTGAAGTGGACACTCAGGATTTTTCATGAGCTGGGATTACATTGTAAACTGAACATCCCAAGGTATCCTGGTCAGCCAAGTCTAAAAGCATTGCATTCTCCGAAATAAAATCTATCTTTGGGAATTTGAGCATTTTCCCTGCCAAAAAAATGTTGAGCCTCAAAAAGTGCTGCAAATTCAAAATTGATAAAAGAAAACTATCACTGTCAGCTCAATCAAAACATTTCATTTCAGCAGTGCTGAAATTCACATTAATTAACCTATGCTTTTTGAGCAGGCAGGTAGAATAGGTGACCTCCCAGGGGCTGCTCCTGCCTACATTTCGCTGTGATTCTGTGATTCCAGTTTCAAAAAGACAGACCTTTCAAACCAGCAAAGGAGCTTTTTCTTTCACAAAATGTTGAAGCTTGGCTGATTTCAAAATAGATCTCAATCAGTTATAGAAAGGTTTGAATGAGGTCTGGACTCAGTAAATTGGGAGATTGCTGCCAATTCTTTGTGCCTTTGAAATAGGGTGGCAAGAATGTTTCACGGTGTTAAGTGATAATTCTGACAGAACCAACTTTATAATCTACTTTCAGTTTCAAAGAATCAGTGTTTTCCTGTGTGTTTCGGCAGGGGGGGGAGAAATCCCCCCAACCTTGCATACAAGACAAAAACACTCCAAATACTTTGATTTAAATTCCAGTATTATGTTAAAGAACCAAACAGTGCCTTACTTTCTCCATTAGGATATTATTTTCAATCATTTTTCCTATCCCAGGTTCTTGGTCCCCAAATAATCTAGTGACAATGAGTTTTACAGCTAGTCATGTATCTTTGGAAAAAGAAGTATTGCTCTGTACAATATTAAAATAAGATG